AGCCACAGCCACAGCCACAGCCACAGCCACAGCCACAGCCACAGCCACAGCCACAGCCACACCCCACAGCCACAGCCACAGCCACACCCCACAGCCACAGCCACAGCCACACCCCACACCCACACCCACACCCACACCCACACCCACACCCACACCCACACCCCACACCCACACCCCAGCTTTCTATTGTAGATTTTAGATCTTCTCATGCTCCACCTTCTGATATATTTTTTTCAAGAAACATATTAGAAATTGAGAAAAAAAAGATAGAAAATAAAACTATTTATCATGGGCACCGGTTACTTGATTAGATGGTACGAAAAAAATCTTTTAGTTTGAAGTTATGTTTTCACGATAGCTTGAGCTTTAGTTGTGAAAATTTAGAGTGAAACTCATCTGATGTTGCTTGACTATTAGTTCAATTTTGAGCTTTTTTTGATTTTTTATAAGACAGAGAAGAGGAATTTTTCTGTAAAGTACCAAAACTTTTGGATCACCCTTTAGGTAGGTAGATTGAGAAATACATAGATAGTTAGATAGATAGTAAGATAGATAGTTAGGTAAATAGTTAGGTAGATAGTTAGGTAGACAGGCAGATAGGTAGTTAGGTAGATGGATAGTTAGATAAATAGATAGTTGGGTAGATCGATAGATACGTAAGTAGATAGATAGGTAAGTAGATAGATAGATAGATAAGTAGATAGATAGGTAGATAGATAGATAGGTAGGTAGGTAGATAGATAGGTAGGTATATGTTCTAGTGATAATATCACTGATGCACGTGTAATTAAAGCTAAAAAGGTCAATATTTTTTCCACACACACGGCAAAACACGATCGTTTACGACCGTATACGGAAAAAATACGGTCGTTTACGGCCGTATATGCTCCGTATATGACCTCCGTTTTTCTCCGTATTTCGCCGTATAGGGTCACGGAAATATACGATCGTAATACTGAATCATGTAATACGGTGAAATACGGTCCTATACGGAGCGTATATGGTATGTATACGGTTGTATACGACGTCGTAAACGGTCGTTTACGGAGTCCGTAATGGTCGACCTGGGTAGAGAATAGAATTTTTTCCTTTCAATTGATGAATTTATTTACGAAATATAGTTAGATTTACATGCATTTTCATGAACCTTTGACATGAAAAATAAACCTTTGACATAGAGAATAGAAAAAAAAATTATTGTGATCATTGGATTTATCTAACTTAATCATATAATTTACTAAAAAGAAAAATAAAGAAAAAAATGTATTTCTGAATAAGTGTTTACAACTGCAGTAAATCCTGTAATCCGTACAAAAAATGACTTCTCTTTCTATTCTTTCTTTGAGGAACTTTACTTTCGAACAGTTCATGTGCATGTAATAACTATACAACAGGCACATACTCTCAAATCCCGGTCTGTCTTGTGGCCGATTTCTTTTCAACGACCTGCTTAAACGGTGGTATATGTACGTACAGTATATTGACAAGTACAAGTACTTGTTCATGCGTTTCGAGCTCTTGGACAGATGTGTGGGCATGTCTGGAAGATAGACAAAACTTAAACTTGATAGCCATTAAAATTCTTTTTCTTTTATCTCTCTAGGAAGTTGTTGTCAAACTCGTGAGTTTATATCTGACTGCTAGAATACAATCAGACAAGCCATTTCTTTTTCCTGTATGTGTTCTTTTAGCTCTATGTCCTAATTGTAATTATAATTGTGATTATGGTTCTTGTAATTCACCGTCGAGCTGTTATTGCAATAGTGGTTACCAAGGAACATGCTGTAACTCGACAATTACAAGTGGTCAATATCTGTTGCTGAGTCCGACGAGCACAACCTATTGGGGTGAGCAGTCCACTGAAGGCTATCTCAACTGTTATTCATTTGAAAAAAAATATTAACTTTTATCTTCACAGGTGGTGGATTTAACAATACTTTCTATGGTCACGAAAATGATGTACTTAATGTTTCCAGCGTAACAGGAAAAACTCTTACAGTTGCTGCATGTTTCTTTGGTATTAATAGTGCCATTCCTGAACGTGGTGGATCGACAGTTTCGGCAAATTGTCTCTCTACGAATGTTTCATCTACATGTCTTACACTATGTAATTCGTGTTATTGCTATTACACAATTAACAATGCAAATTTTGGTGGCACCTGCTTTTGGCAGGTAAAGACATTTTGGATGTGTTTTACATGCTCATAATTCGAGATAGACATATCAATAATTTTGTGTATTCTTTTAAAGTTCCTCCTTCTGTTAACTAAAAGTCTACAGTGAGAGTGTGGGTATAGGGTGTGAGTGTGGGCGTGGGCGCGCTTGCGCGTGCAATTATTCTGCAAATCTTAGACCAAATCCACAGCCACAGCCACATCCACAGCCCAACTACACCCAATGGAATACTTGTACAAATAGGATCATAGTCCGCACCAAATTCAGATGGAATAAATCATTTGATGTCTACATCAGTTACAGATTCAACTAAAGTTGTACCAAAACTATTGAATAATCCTTCTCCATGCACAGTCGAAATGACCATTTCTTGACCAATAAGAGGTTTAATCAATGCATTTTTATTTCAATAATCGACTTTGATCACTTTAACATAGGATGAAAATGTTTTTTTTTCGAATTATTACGAGAAAGCATGCTTACATTGGAGGTAGAATCAGCAAGACGAGATGACAGAATATTTTTATCAGCAGTAAAATGTTTTTTGTAAGTATTTATAGTCATTTTTATCATTAGTCAATCATATACAACCTCTTAGTTACTAATATTTTTATACTTTATTTTAAGTCGTAACGATGACAACACACCTCTTTGTCCTTTCTACGAGGTAGAAGTGTACATGCGCTCGAGATATTCTGTAGTGTAACGTATGCATCATCACTACGAACATATCAACGAAAAATACCATTTTATCTAGAATAAAGACAAGTGAATTGCTCCTGGGTAGCCATCAAAAAGTTACTATTAGTATATTCAGATAACTCTCAAAAAATACATCGATTGAATTGTAAAAGTTCCAGTATGATATGCAACAACAATTTCTGATCATCCATCATGATTCAAATCATCATCAATGACAACAAAAGGAACAGACTCATGCATTGCGTGCTAGCGAAAGAGTTTATTATCGACCTTAGAAGATATGATAAAGGGAGAGGCAGATAAAGAGATATACTTGAAGAAAAAATCCTCAGAAACAAACGAAAAAACAAATGCACATAATAAAAAAAATCAATGTGGTAGGACATAGAACAGAAATTTAAAAAAGAAAGGCGGCATTCAATGAGAGTCCGTAGTTGTGGATGTGAGTATGGGTTGAAGACGAGAACAACATCCATACCCCACCCTAACAAACATATCCGAAAAGATTATCAATTGAAATCATTATCCTCTGCTTCTTCATTCTCAATTTCATAGTCCTTCAAGATCTACTGTTCTTCATTGCGAGTCGGGTCGTATACCTAACCGGCCATTCGAAGAAACTCAACAGTAGGATCCAAATCCAACGCACGACAACGCTTCATGAACATGTATTTGACCAAATGAGATGGGAAGGAGTCCTTTTTGCGATGATATTGTACCATGACGATTTTTACATGTCTCCAGGAGCTTTCGATGGACTTGGTACATGCACCAGTTTCAGAATCCTTGAAAGTGATCGAATGGTTAACCTTCAGATGTTTATAGCTCTCATCTTCCAAACTGTAGTATGAGTCTCAACAATCGAAGATGATAGTAGTTTCTGGGAGGATTTAGTCCTTGATGATTGGAGTCAATGTGACTGCATCTCTAAAATGTTAACAAATTAACATCAGATTAATATACTAGAAGTTTTAATTCGTACTAATTTATCTCTCAAAATAAAACAAACCTTTTCTCAACTGGATTCATCACAACACGGTCGGTTCCTCGTTCAAACATTCCAAACACCCATTAGCCTTCGACTCGGTGATCTTTGTAATACTTCCTGCGTCCGAATTTGGATCCATCAATTTCTACTGCAATTCCATGGCCACCTAACTTTCGCTTATTAAGAATGAAAGCATCGTAAATCGCTTCCCGGCAAAAAGAAGTCCAATTCACAGCAACCTTTTGGGAGATCTCTGCTTGCAATTCTAAAGTACAAACAGTTAAACTACGCAAAACAAACGAATCAGACATGCAATTATTGGTTACAAATAATATTCAAACCAACGTTCACAACCCACAAATTCATGAAGACCAAGATTTGCCAAATGGATAAGTGAGATCGAGCGAAGAACGTTCCTCTGCGAAATCGTGCTTGATAAGTGCATCTCTTGTTCTCCCGCTTCTTTTTTCTAGAACATTCAGGGACATATAGTTTGACTCCTCAGGAATTAGATTCCATTGTTGCAATTGTCGGACGAGAGCTTCCTTCTCTTTACACACATCAAGAGTTGGTCGAATATTGAGCGGCATATCTTCAGGAATAATCAAATATGAAAAAACTAAGAAAACTCTTATTAAGCAAAAGAACAATTTGAATTAGGACGAAATTATTGAAAAGAAACAAAATTTGATTCAAAAATTAGCTAAGGGGACCAAACACTTTTGAAACTTTTCAATGGTCTAAAAGGATGTCCTGATGAATGATGGCCCAGTTTTTTTAGTTGCTCTATCGTTTTCTGCGCATAATAAAACCCTAGAAGTAAAAAAGTTGCAAAAAGAAAGGTGTTTACGTAAAGTATACTTATGCCGAAATATCTAGTATTTGGTATAATATTTAGTGAAGATCTGATATGTTTGATAGAAAATCGAATATTGTTTTCATCTTTACTTATTTTTTTTGTTCATTTAGAGGTTTTTTTAGCATGAGTGTTAAAACAACAAGTCTCTCGTGATCGACAAGTATTGGTGAAACAAAGGCAATCATTTGATCATCAAATGTCAAGACGAAAATTGAAGTTTGTGAAGATTGACTATGTATTTCGTCGAATAAGAATCAAGCTATTATGTTATGTTCTCTGAATTTTTTTAGGAATATGCAAGGGGGAAACAGCGGACTTCAAGACTTCAACAGACTTCAACAGACTTCATCCGCTGTGACTTCATCTTTTCACAAGACTTCGAAAGACTTCTGAAGACTTCATAGGACTTCAAATGACTTCGCAAGACTTCATAAGACTTCGTATGACTTCATGGGACTTCATGGGACTGTATGGGACTTCAAAAAACTTTCAAAGACTTCGTTAGACTTCACAGACTTCGTGAGACTTCAGGAACTTCATGAGACTTCAGGAACTTCATGAGACTTCACGGATTTCATGAGACTTCAGAGACTTTGTAGGACTTCTTGAGACTTTATAAGACTTCATCAGACTTCATAAGACTTCACAAGACTTTATAAAACTGCACAAGACTTGACAAAACTTCACAAGACTTCAGAAGACTTCATAGGACTTCAAGAGGCAGATTCCATGCGTATCAAAAAATCTTATAGAAATTACATGAAACCTCTATAACATTCAAAAAAAAAAACTTATCAAATAGTAGGGGTGTCATTTACCGTTTACTTTATAATAAATATAAATTATTTATCATTTAATTTACGCGTAAATTCAATGGAAAGTAACTATAAATTGACACCCTTATTCATAACAGAGTAACTAGTGTCTTCCGAGAATCACGAACAGGAATGATATTGAAAATTGATTGCTCCCAAAAGTCTGTTTTGTGGAACTCACGTATATTTTCGAAGAAAATAGTGAGTGTACGTTTTCAGTTCGAGGTTTGATGGCTCTCTCTTCCCCCACCCCATTATAGACACTTAGCAACGGAGAAAGAGAACATTACAGACATACCCCCCCCCCTCCCCCCCCATTACAGCCCTTAGCAACGAGGATTAAATAATGGTGAAAATATTATTTTAGCTGCATTTAATCGTGCAAAAGAACTAGTTAGTAATTTGAATATATTACCTTCATTAAAGAAATGCAATGCTTGTGAACTTAATGGTTTAAGTAAAAATATATTTGATAGTATTAGATTCAACATTAATTCGGATACTTATTCGGGAACGGATGCAGATTCTCCATCAGATTCTGAATCTGATTATGATGATGAAACAATGAAAAGTAATGAATTTAATAGTGATCTAATCAATGTAGATGAAGAAGATAAAGATGCGGCAACGACACAAAGTTTTGATGAAATTAAAACTGAGAAAATAAATTTTACTGGTATGCGTATATTTGATTCGATCAATCCAGCAATGAAAAACTCCTATTTTCAAGTGCAAATAAATAACAAGACTAAATTTATACACAAGCAAACGGCTTGTTGGTTATTAACTGACAAAACTAGCCGTTTATCGGCTGATAGATTATCACGAGTGATAGAAACAAACAAAAAGGATTAAAATTCTTCATCAGATTGATTTGGATAGATAAAACATTTCTTATAAAAATAAAACACTTCATTCACAAAGATTCAGTTATTAACTATTACGTTTACTAAGACCAAACAAGCTTGAATTTTTTCCAGCATATTGAAAAAAAAACAATAAATAGTTCACCTTTCTGCTAAAATAAAATCGTCGAAAACAAGACAATTTCATTGGTTTCTTATGAGTTTTCATGCACTAAATGTATTTCAAAACTTTCAAAAGAATTCATGAGACTTCATTAGATTTCATGAGACTTCAAGAGACTTCATGAGATTTCAAGAGACTTCAAAAACTTCAGAGACTTTATGAGACTTTATGATAATTCATAAGACTTCAAAAGACTTCAAGAGACTTCAGAAGACTTCAAAAGACTTACAAGACTTCAGAAGACTTCAAAAGACTTACAAGACTTCATGAGACTTCACGGCTGAAGTCTCTGCTGGTTCCCCCTTGGGAATATGTATTTAAAGAAAAAACCAGTCAAAAAGATTCTTAATGCAATTATATCAATAAGCCGATTTTATGCGTGTTTTTATTAATACAACAAATTATGATCATGATCAAGTTAAAGTTAAAATAGATATTACATATCAGAGATGGAAACAGTTCGATTTAGTTCGTAATCGTTTATACCCGCTATGGTTATTTTCGTTTTGTAGATTCTTTTTTTTATATTAAAGAAAACAACATCAAAAGAAATATTCAGGTTACAATCAGATGTCGCTTGCTATAAAGATAGTTTTAATATTTTTCTGATTAGAAATTTGCATAGACGAATAACAAACCACGTCGAGAAAAACAACGCTTGTTTATTGTACACAGTAAATTTTTTTTTTAATTCTACTATTTGGAAAATCGATTTTAAATAAGCTGAAGTATTTTTGAGGTTTTATGGTTCATTCGACAATTTTTCAATACTTCAAAAATGCTTGATTTTCCAATTTACAGAGATTGAATTTGATTTTCGAAAGAAATCATTTTCTACAAAGTAAAACATCAACATTGATTTTAATAAAACTCGAAAATCAATGCTGATTTGAAAAAATCATCTGAACAATGATCGCTATCGAGCCATTGTTAATTCACATATATAAGCCGGCCGATAATGTTTTTCATTCATTATATTCTTTAGCAGCTAAATAGTGAGTTGATAACTTGTATTTTTAAAGTTGCTCTGTAAGTCAGTTCATTTAATATGTATTTAAATTCAAATTATTTGTTATTTGATGCATTTTTATGAATTACATGTCTATAATATTATTTAAATTCAAATTTAAATTATCTATTTATATTATTTTGATGCATTTATGTGTTTAAAATATTATTCAATTTAAATTCTAATTATTTATTCATGTTATTTGATGTATTTAGATGAATTAAATGTTTATGCTATTATTTAAAATATTTACTCATGTTATTTGGTGCACTTATATGAATTAAATATGTCAAATATAATTTAAGTGTCAATTTAAATTTATTATTCATTTTATTTGATGTATTTTTATGAATTAAAATGTTTAAAATATTATTCATTTTAAATTCAAATTATTTGTTTGTTATTATATAAATTTTACGTTCATATATGAAAATAAAATTCGATTTTCGAGTTTTTAAAAAATACTCGAATTGCTGAATAGAATCCGAAATTCTAGGAATGCCTATATGAATTCACTTGCGATTTTCTAATTAGAAAATCAAATTTCTTATTCTGAATGTTTCATATACCTCATTTTCAAAGAATTTATAATTCATTGATGAATTCATATGGGCATTTCTAGAATATCTTTCACTAAACTCTATAACTTATTTTCTAGTTTACAGTGTACAGAAAGTCTAGTAAAACTGTGGCAAATCTAATTCAAGTAAGTCTGTCATTTACTACAGATTAAATTTGATTTCCACATAATTATCTAGGTGATTGAAAAGTGATTGTCCCCCCCCCCCCCGATTGTTTGCAACCATTTGTATTTGATATAGTTTTGATATGTGATAGAAGAAGTAATCTGAAGAGAACATTCTATCAAGCCGAAATAAATAAGACAGAAAAAGATACAGCATTTGAGGATTATTATTTTGATTCAATTGAGGATGAATATAATCAAATTAATGGAAATAACAGCGAAGAAGATGATAGCTCTTACGATGATGAAGAAATTAGTTGATAAGAAAATTATATCTGTTAGTTATTCCTCTACAACATCAAGTCGAAACAATGGCATCACTATTCTTGATCAATTACCATCAGATGCAAAACATGTTTTAGTAACTATTATCTAGTGCAAAAAGTTGCTGAAATATTAATTAGATAAATTCAATATCAAGACCTTTATTGCTGACTTAGAGAAAATAGAACATGTGAACATTTTTACAAAATTCTTACTAGATAGAATCTTTTCAATGGGTACCATTTTAAGAATCTTTTAAGGGTTCTAGACTTTTCGACTAGAACTTTTTTTCTGTGAAACTTTTAGGAAAAAAAATTCTAATTCAAAAACCTAGATCCTTTAACAGATTCATAAAATGATATCCATTGAATAGGTTCTGTATGATGTCTGCTTTTTTTTACAGAAAAGGAGTCAATAAAAAATGTAACTTTTCTTAGGTCAATTTCAGTTAAGAACTCGAAGAACTAGAGGCTGCTGTTCTGATCCAAAATACAATTGTCAGATGGCTTTCTTTATATAACTTTGTGGAAAGTGTCCAAAAATCCTTAAATCCATTACTTGAAATATTTAATGAAAAAAATTTTAACAAGAAAAGAATTAATAAGTTCATTTATGTTCAATAAAATAATTGATTTTTTAAGACCATGGACTCATGTAATGAAACGTACTCAATCATCGCGAGTATCATCAATACATACGGTAGCACCAAGTATATTTGTAATAAATTCCTCATTCGAAATAAGGTCAAATGATTATAAATAAGAAAAAGGTTTATGATTTCAATTTTTTTTTATGTACTTTGCCTAAATAATTTTTTTTCACAGGCATCGGTTTATTTCAGTCAACGAGCAAGACAAGTAATCCAAGAAATGATTTCTTTCGATACCATACATCTCATTGAAACTTTCTTCAATCCTAAAACACGAAGAATGAAGGATTCGTCAGGAAGACAAAGGGCAGAATGTATTGAATATGTAAAATCAGAAATGTAGCTTTTTGATGTTGATCAG